TGGGCTGGTTGTGCCTGGTGTGCGTAGCACAGAAACCAGTGCGCAGGACCTGGGGGCCGCCATGTCTGGGCAGGACTTTGATAACAGCAATGGTGGAGCACTGACGGGTTGCGGACATTTAAAACGGAGGCCCTTTTAGTTATATCTGGAATTTTATTGGACTGGCTGGATTGGGAAGTAGAAGATTCTGTGGCTATTGTGCAACCCAGAAAAAGAACACAGGTGGGCAAGAGGTGGAGGGCCTGAAAGGTCTGGAGACAGCATAGTAGCTTAGCTTGGAACTTCCATCATGGCTTATGTCCTGAGTCCCCTGTGACAATGAGAAATCAGGGACCCATCAGTCTTGCTGGCTCTTGTACTAAGTACAAGGAAATAGAGGCCAGATGTTCTGGAATAGGCACTTCAGCTACATCTGGAAAATGGCTGCTCAGTCCAGTCCCTCATAACCTCTAAGCCTAGTAGGTCTTGCATCAGGTAGCTCCTTTGTGGGCCAGCGAGAATGAGTTCTCTGTTGCCTCCAGAGAGGTCTGGAGTCTGGGGCCTCTGTGCTCCAAACCCACCCTCCAGAGTTCTCCCTACCGGCCTTTACCACCAGATCGGCACACCCGGGCTAGAAGCTATGGTGGGAAAGATTCCGCTTGATGGCACTGTTGCTCCGTAAATGTCAACTACTTTGTCTGGGCCTCTCCCTCCATCCTTTGTGGATCAAAAAACAATGGCCAGTAAAGCCCAGAGGCTTTCCAATAGAATTGGATCAAAGACATCAAAAATAAATGCACATTTGGGAGTATCTTATCTATGAATTTGAAGTCATCATTTCCTGGGGATAATGTCCTTTTCTGTAAATACTTGCTGGTATCGAGAGTGGTTTTATGGGGCAGAATCTTAACTTTCCTAGGACAAGGTTTCACAGAGGTGGTTGGAGGAAGCATTTGTTTTCCCTTTAGGTCATGTGTCTATCTACCTGGAAAGGTCAGGTCCGTGCCCAAGAGGAAACACTATGGCAGCAGGTATAGTGTTATTGGTGGGTCAGGTGAGAAACAGGTAGATTACACTGGACCACCTCCTATGGTCTTAGGCAATCGCTTAGCCATGAGTGCCCCAGGTCGGTTGTGTATGTATGGGGGTGATGGGGAATGTTCAGGGTACAGATGGAGACCACAGTTCACCATGCATACAGAGGGATAACCTTGATGGGGCTGTTTGTTCAGCAAGCCCTTCGATAAGGCCTACATGACAGTTTGTGTGTAGTCTACCCTCCCGCTTTCTACTTGCTCCTTCATCCCTACATATGTACACATACACGCAAATGTGTCAATGTGGTATACGCTATACACATGCATGGTTACATATACAGACACACATGTACATGCGTGTATTGAATTATAGATACATAAATTTCCTTTCTCCCATACTTGCCCTGTAACCACATTGGAGATGCCACTGTGGGTACAAATATTTCCATTCAACTCAAAAGCCCTTTCTGTTGCCTGAAGAACACTGCCTTCAAACCCTTCCTGCGGAGGGGACCACATGTAATTTTTCCTCGATTATGAATCCAGGGTTAAACGCAACACAGCGGCCCCTCTGTGTGTTCCCTTCTCTCCAGCCCGACAAGGCTCTCCTCCTGCTGGCATGCTTTTGCATTCACCTGACCTCACAACAGGTAGGGCTCGTGGCCTGGCATACCTGTGCAGAATAAATGACAGCTCCCAGCAGTCAGCACGCCCATGTCTGCTCCGGGTGCTGGCAGTGTAGCTAATAGAAAAGGATATGGGACTCTTGAATGATTCCTTGGGAACCAGGTTTCTCATTCTTTCCTCTCCTGTTTTACAGACAGTCACAGTTTTCAAACTCAGTGTGTGTGACCCGGGTACCTTTTTCAGGATCCGTTTTCCATCCAGAAGTGTCGGTTAGTTGTTAACTGTACCACAGCCTAGATTAGCTGCCCTTGTGCTGCCAGTGCGATAGCAGGTGCTGCTGGTTTATACGGGAATCAAATGATAGCTGGGTGGTGAGGGGCTGTTCCTCCATGTGATGACATGGTCTTGTCAAGGTATCTGATGCTATCCTGATCTAGTCACAGATACAGAACAGAGAAAAAAATCTCTGCATCAATGCCAAAGCAATCACGCATCCCGAGATATGATTGCAGAAGTTATCTTCAGCTTTCAAGAAAACAGTGATTCCCTGAAGCTCCAAGATGTAAACTATAGGAGTCCTCCTGGGCGCCTGTGCACACCTGGGTTATATCCTAGCCCTGGCCTTCCTTCTGGTGCAGACTGTTAAGAAGTCAAGTTAAGGCCCTCCCAGGTGGTGCAGCGGGTTAAAGCACTGCACTAAGAAGCTTAAGCCACTTCCGCATGAGTTCGATTTAGTCTGCCCGCCCCAGAGATCCACATGGCGTGGCAGACCTCTCCTGACCCGCCTGCTGCTCCCCTTAGCAGTGTACTTCGTTGATCTGCCCGTTCTGCTCCCCACTCTGTCTCTGGTGAATCCTCTCACCCTCCGCGTCTCTGACCTGTACCCCAGTTCTGTATGAATAAATAAATCTTTAAAAAAAAAAAAAAAAAAAGTCAAGTTAAGAGATTGCGGCCTGGTGCAAAGACTTTTGAGTCTCTAGAGTGATACCCATATGCCTTCCTGACTAATCTTGTGTCTGCCATGATTCACATCTGAACACCATTAAGTGTGGGCACTTCTTCTCACAACTCTTCCCCTCAGAACAGGGGGCCAGTAATCCTGGTTGGCCTCAGGCTACTAGAGACTCTAGGCCATAATGTAGACCAGCAAAAGAACACTGGGGGCTAGGAATTCTGTCAGCAGAGCACAAATACTGGCCCAAAGAAAGGGTCATAGTTCATAGGCCTGGGGCCTAGAAATGGGGTCCCCAGTCTGGATTCCATGTGGCCCTGAGAACTCACCTTTGGTCACCTAGAGCAAAGATCTAGGCCACATGCCCTGAGTAGGGACTCCAGTTCCTTTTTCCACAAAATGGAGTCTTGCCATGGCCACATCCCCAGTACCTTTGGAACTAAGTTGGCGTGATAGCTGTGGCTCCTTGGTGGGCAACCTGCACTCCCTTTACCAAGTTTTGTTTCCACGCCATGTGAAGCTGCCCCAGTGGCCCACCTGCAGACACTTGAATTGGCTTAGATGCACCACCTTCCCTCTGCTACTGACCATCTCCACCAGGGCTATGGACCTGGGCTGCAGGCCCCACTGAAAAATCTTCCACCTGATGGTGCTGTTGCTTCAGAAATGCCAAGCAGCCTGGCGTGCCTCCGCCCTTTGTGAATGAAAAAAGACCCAAGTTGTCCCAGCAGCCAACCAAGCCTTCCCAGTGAGGCTGGTCCCAGGCTGCTGGAGATAATGGGGTTTCCTCCTTTCTGAGTATTTGTTGCTAGCAGGAACTTGCACATAAAGACATGTAAAGGAATAAATGCATCAGTGGATCTCCTACCTCATCTCTCAAAGGTTTGAAGCCATCTCCCAGGGACACTGTCCGTTTCCTGTACACACGTAGCTGTTCATACCTGTCTTCTTTCCCAGGGCAGATTCATACCTGGAGGGTGTAGGAATACCTTCACTTGCCCTCTACTCTCTGCTTCATCACCTCTTCTCTGCACTCACCCTGTTACCTCACACCCCCTTGAGGGCTCAAGGCAAGCCTAAGAAGTAGGCCATGCTGTCAGCCAAAAGAGGTGGTCCTGGGACTTTCAAGGTAACAGTCAATTTTTTGTGTATCTTTGTTTCTTTTTGGTTTAGAGCAAGTTCCTTCCAACATTTCATGTAAGGGCTATTTGGTGGCAAAACCCTTTAGCTTTTGTTTGTCTGGGGAAGTCTTGACTTCTTTCAGGGTTTCGTAGGACAAAGTATGTTTAACTATTCTGAATATGTCTTTCCACTCCCCTGGCTTGTAGACTCTGTAATAAAGTCTTACAACGGCCCAATGAACATGCCTTTGTAAACAGCCTTTAATGCTCTGTCTTGGACTCTTTGAATAGTTTCATTACTATGTCTTGGTGTAAGTCTCTTTGTATCTATATTACTGCAAGATGTTTTGTTAGCTACATGAACTTGTCTCTTCAGTTCTTTCCTCATGTTTTAGAGGTTCTCAGCCATTATTTCTTTAAACAGACTTTTTATTTTCTTCTTCTCAACTTTTATGGCCAAGACCATGTGTTTTCCCCTTCCTGACCCTTCATTTGAGCTGGCAGCCCTATTATTTCTGTCCCTTCCCAACCCCTCTACAAAGGAAGTCAATAGTCAGAACCTAACACATGCCAGCTTGTATACTTGCATATAATGCCAGTGGCTAGAAGATGCCAAAAACATCTACTGAAAGTTTTGTTTTGGAATCAGTTGATTCTCTGCGGGAAGAATTAAGCCATGGAGTTCAAGAACCACATTTTTATATATTTATTTCTGCTTCGTTTCATAAGTTAGTGCAGTGACCTTTCAGCAGGATAGCCCTGAACAGAGCTGATAGAGGTGGGTAAATGGGATACCATTTACCTGAGGTAAAGGAATCCTGCAGGTAGAAGTGGTGTTGCTGGCAGAGGTGGAAAGGGGGATGGAGAAGTCTTGGTACTTATCAACAACTGCCAAGTCTGTGCTCCTGTAATATAAATAACCAAGTGTTTCAATGCTGAAAAACAGATAGTAGATAGGGGATTTTTATGCTGCTTACTAATTTATCAACATTAAGGGACTTAACAGTACGTACAAAAGATTAATGTGGATATTTGATGGGCATTTTTTTTTAAACTTGAAAACTAATGGAATTCTTCCCCACATGAAAATGACATGTTTTTTGAAAATCACAACTGTTATCTAATCTAAAATATATCATTTTAGTTAATTCAAGTAGTCTTGATCACATTGTGCTTACATCTGACATGTTAATTTTCTACTGTCAGAGTCACGGTGATAGGACAAAGGTCTGTATGTAGCATCATTACCTGGTTTTGATGTCACTGGAGTTCTGTTCCAACAGCTTTGAATTTTCACTCCTTTTTAGCAGTTCACATTGAGCTTAAAGTTGGGTGCTGAATTCTTCAATTATTTTCACTGATCACCACTAAAAAGGTATAGTTTTAGGTAAGCTTTAAGTAAATAAAGCATTTCTTTGTTGAAGTCTCGGAAATTAAGAGTATTCTTACTCACTTTTATGACAATGAAACACCCACGTAGAGGTATAGGATTAGGGCCAGTGATCGTAGTGTAACAAGATGACATGTTATCTCACTAAAGCACGCACTTCTGAAAAATAAAAACAAAAATTGATCTTCTAAAATTATTTTTCAAATCCTTTTAGCTTGATACATAGTATTAAAATGCCTCATGTTCTCTCCCTCTCTTCCTCCTCTTTCCCTCTTTTCATATTCTTGCATTAGTATTGGTTCTAATAAATGGTTGGTTTTTTCCTTTAATAAAAGAAAAAACAACAGCAACAGCAACAAAAATGATAAAATGAAAATAGTCTGGTACTTTCATTCAAAAGGAAACATACTCTTACCCAAGATATACAAAGGCATTTAAGACATGTCTTAGAGTTTTCAATGAGACCAAGGGTGTTGGAACTTACCAAATGATTTATTTTCAGTGGTACAAATAGAACTGTTATGATCACAGTGAACCATTCCAGAGGCCAAGTATACGTGAACACAGTGCCCGATATTAACGGAGCAAGTGCAGTGAGAAACCAACCTTGAGATCGGGGCTTACTGTACAGAAGAGGATAAACATGCAATCAAAGTATAATTAAGAGGTAAATAACATACCTAGAAGTATGAAACAAGTCTAGGATCTTCATCTGTACCTAAGTGGTAGATCACACTCTAATTTTCTTATAAAACTGTGACCTAAAAAGGAAAAAAATATCATTAATACCTTTGCCACAATAAAAATCAACTCCCCTAAATATGGCTTCCACATGAAAAATCAGTCATTTTCTCGCTCTGTGAAAGAAACCAGCCACTACATACCAGTAGGAGAATGAAGCCTAAGCCTGAAGATGGTCCTCACTTGATACTGTCAGCCCACTGTGATGGCATCAACAAGTCAGCCCACTGTGATGGCATCAACAGCAACCTTCTAGTAACTTCAGTGTAATCCGCTGGGATTCTGACTTGCCCTCACCAGGCTCCTTCCCGTTTCATTTTGCTGAACAGATATGTACATTTCTATTACTGATTTTACACTTGTTTCCCCTATTAGAACTTAAGCTCTGAACAAGCAGAGATTTTTTTTGAAGATTTATTTATTTATGCATATAGAACTGGGGTACAGGCCAGAGGGGCAGGGATGGTGAGAGGATTCACCAGAGACAGTGGGGGTGCAGAACAGGCAGATCAACAAAGTACACTGCTGAGGGGAGCAGCGGGCGGGTCAGGAGAGGTCTGCCACGCCATGTGGGTCACCTCCGGGGTGGGAATCGAACTCACGCTGAAGTGGCTTTAGCTTCTCAGTGCTGTGCTTTAACTAAGCTACATCACCAAGGAGGGCCCAGCAGGGATATTTTTGAGTCTTATATGGCTGTTCCCAACAATAACAGTATCCGACACAAAGTAGGTACTGAACAAATGTTTAATGTAATTAACTCACCTTTGATCACCAGGTTTAATGTTCCTTCTATTCCTACAGATAACCCTGTTAACTGTCTGGTGTGCATTTTTCAGCATTTTCTTACACATATATTCTCATATGAAGGCCTGATGAAAATAGATACTCAATTCAACTAAACCCTTGACTATTTCTATAACATATTAAACAGAATCACCTGTCTCTATTCCCAACCGGAACCACAACCAATTACATCTCTATAAATATAACCAAAATAAATTCTAGTTTTGCTATTTCCCCTCATTATTTTCAAAATTGTATTCAAAACAGGTTTCATCAGTTTTGTTGCTTCTTGGTTTCCTTGAGCTCAAAATAATCCATCTGTGAAAGTGGCATGTTTAAGGGTGGCATGCTCTGAACCCATTCACTGCCAACCAAACAACAATATGCAACATTTTTCAAATTATGTCTTTGATTAATGTTACTTTTTTTAAATATTATTTATTTATGCATACAGAGCTGTGGTACAGGCCAGAGATGCAGGGGCGGTGAGAGGATTCACCAGAGATAGAGTAGGGAGCAGAGCAGGCTGACTGACAAAGTACACTGCTGAGGGGAGCAGCGGGCGGGTCAGGAGAGGTCTGCCATGCCATGTGGTCACCTCTGGGGCAGGCGGGGATGAACTCATGCAGAAGTGGCTTTAGCTTCTTAGTGCTGTGCTTTAACCCGCTGCGCCACCAGGGAGGGCCCAGATTTAGGTTATTTTTGACGTGCCATTCTCACAAGTGTGAGTTGGAATGTCATTGTAGTTTTAATTTTCATCTCTTATTAAATGTGGCAAACATTTTTAATGTATTTCAGTCTTCTGGATATCTTTAGTGAGTTATTTGTTCATATATTATGCCCATTTGTTCATTGGATTACTTTTTTTTTGTTATTGAATTGATCTTTATATATGCTGGGTATTAGTTTCTTATCATATTTATGCTTACTGTGTAAATATTTCTTCCCATTCAGTAGGGTGTATGTTTGTGTATGGTGTTAGCAAGAAATCCAACTTCACTCTTACATGTAGCTTTCCAATTTTCCCAGTGCCACCGTTTTTTGTTGTTGTTGTTGTTTTTAAGGGGAGGGTGGAATTTTAGTAGCCTACAAAAGTCTTTTCAGACATTTTAAACATTAACATAATTAAAAGTGAAGTCATTTTTTATGTAACAATAAAGATGAGAAATATATTTGCAAAGTTACAATTTTTGTTTTCTATTTTATGCTTTTGAGGCAAAATGTGTTTACATCATTGGATTTCTTCTTTCTGCTCCCTCTCTACCATGCAACCCCCGTGGGCTTTTTCATATGATTAAATACAGTCCTTTGGAAAAGTAGAAGGAAAAGAGTTCTACTTGCCAGAACATGAGTGTCTGGAGATTTCCTTTCACTCATTGGTAGATGCGCAACAGGTTCTGAGGTACAGGGACACCACACTGACTCTCTGGGAATGGTAGCATTTCTTCTAGGATGTGACTGATATTCCAGTTCACCTAAATGATAATGACTTGAGAAAGTGTACCCTGTCACACAAACTCATAATTTGGTGACAACTATAATGTTGTTTCAGCCAGTTCTTTCAAAGACAGAAAAAGAAAAGGAGAAACCTAATATCCAAAAAGAAGAGATAATGTTAAATAATCTAGGTCCAGTGCTCAGGCAGACAGGTGCACACCCAAGGGAGACAGCAGTAAAGAAACCAAAGGATCTGACTGGAAAGAATGTTTACCTGAAGATGCACCAAGTGCAGCGCCTTATAAGTTGGGAGAGCATCCACTACAAAGTGTCTAGTGGGAGAGTGGAAAAAGGTAGAGGTCCAGGCTCCAGAGGAAAAGGACCCAATCCCAAACTGGAAAGCTGTTTTGGCTTGGGTTTCCGAAGGCCTTTTTTAGATTCACAAAGGGCGGGGGGAGAGACCGGCAATAACGAGTGGTTGACATATTTGAAGCAACAGTGCCATCAAGCGGAAGCTTTTTGAGTCTCGCCTCCGTTCCCTCGAGGTTATCTAGCTGTAAGTTGGGTGAAGATAGGAAGGAAGCTCAACAGCAGCAATAAGATTTTCAGGGCGGTGACCCACATGGCACAGCAGACCTCTCCAGTCTAGCCCACTGCTCCCCTCAGTAGTGTATTTCAGTCAATCCGTTGTGCTCCATACTCTCTGGTGAATCCTCCTCTCGCAATCCCCGCTTCTGGCCTGCACCACAGCCTTTATATGTATATAAATCTTTTCTTAAAATAAGATTTCCATCTGGAGTGAGCCAATGGGCACCTTCCAGAGTCTGCACAGCAGCAGCCTAACTATAAAGGGGACTGGATTGCCAAACGACGCACCCTGAGTCTTCCGGGCTCCCTAAGCTGGGGGCGTATCCTCGGCAGCAGCCTCGTTAGAAAAAAAGTAGCCCAAACCCGTTTCCAGGCTTGAGTTCCAGGGCCAGATGTCAGAAACATCATTTTTCAAACAGGATGGGGAATTTTCTGATGATTTATTACCAGACTGACTGGAAAGTATAAAGAAAGTGCACTGCAGGTTAGAGCCTGCAGTTGCGTTCTCTTTGCTTTTGCTCTCGCCAAAGCCAGTCCCAGGCCCCACAGAGTCCCTCCAGGTCCTCCTAGCCCTGTCAGGTACTTCTTGGTCCATGTGACCAAAGAAGTCCACACACACTCGGAATCTGACCCAAAGTAAGATGGACAACACCCTCAGGAACGGCAGGACCGCGCCCTGTTTTCCCCACGTCACATCAGAACACGCAGTCCTTGCCATCATTTAGCAAATACCTTAAGATCCCTCAATACCAGTAGCCAGGCTCCACACCTAACCCCCAGATCCCCACAGACAATTCAGGTTCTGGCCCTTCCACTGACAATAATGGCAGCCGCCCTCGGGTGCCTGCAGTGATCTTTCACAGGGTTTCCCCGTGCCCAACAGAGGATCCCCAGCCAAGAATGCCCTCAATGAGACCAAACTTGGGCTTGTTCCCAGGAAAGGGGCAGGAGGCCAAATACCCACAGCTCTTGACCAGGGCTCTTAGCGGCTTCCACAAGTCTAAACAAGACATGGCGGCCATCAGTGTCCCCGTCACAGCTTCCTCTGCTTGATCTTCCGGTACCCGTTCTTTACTGCTTTATCCTAATAGCGATCTCTGGGGCTTTCTGGAATCAAGGTGGTTTGGTGGCTGATTTTCTTGTGCCCAGTGAAACTGTGGGTCCTGGTAGGAGAGTGTGGTGGAAGAAATACCCGTCCTTTGTCCAGTATGAGGCTCTGCCTACACCGCCATTTGCATCCCAAAGGAAAGCACAGCAAGAGCGCACAGGCTCTGTAAATGCATTCCGCTTGATGGCAGTGTTGCACCAACAATGTCAGACTGCCTGCCCCAAGGTCTCATCCTCCACCCTTTGCTGAGGAAAAAAATGCTAGCCCCACATCCTTGCTCAAACATGGCGGCTCACCAAGTTAGCCAATTTGGGGGAGCACAACCATTTCAAGGATTTCAGGGAACCTAACTTATTTCCTTTTTAGTTCTCTTAGCCTGCCTGCAGAAGCAAAAAGCCCCTAGCAGTGGACATGACCTTCTGGGTAGCTCTGCCATGAGGAAACCTCTAGAGACACTGGGGTAAGCACAGAGCACACCCTCACCACTCTCAACTAGTGTCATAGTGTTGGGTAAGCATTCTTTCACTGGTGAATTCCCCCTAGCCAATGAGAGGTCAGCCATCTGCAAGGCCTCAAGCAGCAGGACACAAAAGGCAGAGGCGGGCCACAGGCATCAGGAGAGGTGTCAGAAATGAGCTGAACCTCCCATCCTAAGCTGAAACATTGGCCCTGAGGATCTGGCTCCTAATCCATCTGGCTCCTGTAGTACAGATAAAAAACGACAAACAGAGGTCTGTCTTTTGGGTCACCAGAGGCCCACCCCCCCCAAAAAAATAAAAAGGCATTAATAGGTCTGGCCTCAGTCAAAATTCTGACAACTTTCACTGGAATTATCACTAGAAAGTTAAGTGCCCAGACCAAACCAGCCCTTTTACTCTTCCCCGTACTACAAGTGACTGAACTCAAATTCTGTGTACCTAATTGAGGAAAGTGCCAGGTTGTCTAGATGATCATTCACATATCCACTTATTTCCAGTTTCACATTTAGGACCTGACTCCAGGCCCTGCCAGAATGGATGAATATTACGGAACACTGCAGGATAATCCCCATGCCTTTAGCCTACCTTAGGGTTGGTC